AGACATGAATTTGGTAAGCATTAAAAGCAGACAGCTTGCCTGGTGACTGAGTACTGAATCAAATGCTTGCCATTAGGAAGGTCAGTTGTTAAATTCCTGCCACTTATATCCTGTCACGAGGCCTTGAGCTGAAGGTGATGCTAATTGTACTCTTAACAGTCTTGCATTGTGGGCCTCTGGAATAAAAAAAAATCAAAACAAACAAGCCTACAACAATCAGGTTGATCGTGGGTTTTGGACTACTTCAGAGGCAGAGCTGTGTGCAGGCATGGCTGATGTCCATCTGAATTCAAGATCTGGGGCTATATTTAATATTGCAGGTCAGAGCTTGAAGGTCTCTTGGCTGGCTGAAAGGAAAAGCATGTCTTAGGCTGTAAGATATGCTACTGAATTTTGTCTTTCAGACTCTACCTTCCCAGGAATGAGCTGGATAACCCTCACAAGTCTAAAACATGGAAAGTCTATAGTGAGACATTTGCTGTGGAGGTGAACTTTGTTGAACCATAAGGGAAAACTGAAAGAAGGGAAATATGTAAAATACATCTCTTCCTGGAGAATGTCTTGCTGCTTCAGTATAAAGTGAAGCAGTCTCACTTTGATGTACTTAATGTATTTCTGTGTAGATACAGCCTCTCAAATAAACTTACATGAAGTTCTGTTGTGCAGAGCAATAATACTCTGAAGATTTACTTAGTGTCAGCTGACTGTCATGTCATGTTAATGAGCCGTTGGATCCCTTGGAGCTTAGATGTCTCTCCATACAGGTAATCAATCCCTACTTTATTAAGCTAAGACAATTGTCTGTCTTTAAGCAAGAGCATTAACCTAATGGAGGGTGGTGCAGGCTGGAGAAATCTGACACACCTTCCCTCAGCATCAGGGTCTTCCACAGGTCAGTAGAATACAGGAAACTGGAGGGAAGAATAGTAATCTGGCACAGGCAGACTAATACTTCTTGAGTAGAAGCCTTGGTGTTGAACCACTGGTCATCAGAAATCCATGATGTAGGGGTTTGAGCAATACCTGCCCTTGGAGCTGACTGTGGGGGTTGGAAACTGCACAGGTGCTTCTTTGCCACTGTAGCTCCCCACAACGGGTGGAGATGGCCCATCAGCTCATGAGCATGCCGACTGCCTGGGATTGGTTAGCCAGGCTTGCCTTAACACCTACATGTGATGGGTTTAGTCTGTGCACTTGCTCCTTTGAGCTAATACTGGAAACTTTCACTGACCCCTCTTGAGCTATCCTGAGACCCGTAATGTGCACACGATGCTTATTCTGCTTCTGGCTGTTCTCAGCAGTGCAGCTCCTCTGTGGAGACCACAAGCCTTCCTTGATGTGAAGTGTGCTGAGGTTAGCTGCTTGGTTCTCCTGCTGCTTTAGTCTTTTTATTGTTAAGAACCAAGAGCAGAAGGGACTGATGTACATTTCCATAGCTAGTACTAGCTAATGGAGTAGGCAGCAATATCTCACACCTTCCAGGTGCTGACTTGGGGGCAGTGGCACACTATGAAGTACGTGTGTGGACTTGGTTCTGCTGTTGCTGTGTAATTACTTGGTATTTGGGAGCTGGGCTGTTGGAAACTCCCACAGAGCTGGAAGCGGCTTCTGTCAGCACTGTACTTCAAGTATGGAGGTTAAAACCTGTCTTCAGTGACTGAGAGGATTCCACAATTGTCTGCAGTTCTAGGTGCAGGATGGAGTGAGCCTGGTCACTTAGATGTTGTGAGTGGAAGTAGCTGGAGGTCTGTCCCCTCCCATGAATGAGGTAACTGCAGACAGCAGTAAAATCTCTCCTCAACTTTGTTATGGGTGAACAAACACAGTTCTCTCCTCCATCCATCCTGGTTGCCCTCTGCTTGAAGTCCTCCAGTATCTCACTGCTTTTCTTGTACTGGGGAACATGAAATTGGATGTGGCATTCCATGTCTGATCTGACAGATGCAAGAGGTATGAGCAGAGGGCCAGAACTGGCTGATTTGCTGGCTCCATAGCCTGCTGTTGCAGCTGAGCCTTTGTCATAAGGGTGTGCTGGCTCATATTCAGCTTCTGTGATCCTGTTTCCCAAACTGTAGTGTTGCTGCAGAGGCTGCACATGGTTTGGCACATAAACTTTAGTAAACTGCCCCTCAAGGTTAAAGGGTGCTGGTAAAGTTAATGCAGCCCCTGTGTTTCTGCTACTGCCAAACTGGCTTCAGAAAAGGAAGAAAAACCCACTTACACAGGAGTGAGACCAAGTTGTGTCACTAGAGGGTGACAGAGCAAGGAGTAAGGCCTCTGTCCTGCACTGAATGGGCTGGGAGCTGGAAGAGGACACCCTTCTGTTGCAGCTCAAGTGGCTGATGACTGAGTTCCTTTTGGCTTAGCTCAGGGAACGGGATATCGCTGTCCTGGGATGCCCTTTCTAACAGCTTGCAGGGCAGTTAAGGTGAACCTCTTTCCTGCTTACGGAGTCAGCCTGTCTCCTCCTGTAGCAGCAGCAAAAGCTCTAACAGCAGAAGACAGATTTTTCTAGCTGAAGCACACAGTTAAGTAAAAAACTATTGTATAAGCAGAAAGGAATAACAAAATAGCTTTATGAGATACTACGTTTCTCTTAAAGATCCAAGCACCATTGCTCAAAGATGGTAACAGTCGGTCCTAACCTTCCTGCAGCACTGACCTCTGGCTCTAGGGCAGTGCACACTCACCCCTTACGCGCGTGGAACTTTAGTGAACTGTGCTGGACTCCTGGCATTCTTCTGGCAGGAAACCTATTCTTACAGCACATGTCACGGTAATCATCAATCGAGAAACTTGTCACTTGAGCCCTAATATTAGAACTGACTTTGGTATTAACAAAGCCACAAGGCCAATGGCTAATCTATAGGCTTTATTTTCCATAGTTGGTTATGCAAAATATGTGGTTGTTTGTTTCACAGCCCCTTGCTAGAGCTGGCACCTTCCCCTTATTTTTGAGGGCTTTACATATTCACTGATTGCAAAAAGCCTTTTCCTTTAATTCAGGATCTCTTTCTTTGCTCCTCAGCTAGCCAAGCTTGCTAAGTGTTGTTGCATAAACAACAGTCAGGTACTCAGTTAATCAAATCCAACTTTATTCCCATGAATTCCTGCACCAACATTATGAAGTTCTTAGCTGAATGACTGATACATGTATACAGCTTCAGCAGCTGTGAATTGAAAAATTACTGCTTACATCCACTTCAGAAGGTAAACTCTCAAAACACATGTCTGTTTCAGTCATGAGCTTCTTCCTGTAGGTTCAGTTCTAAATATCCTGCTTCGTTTGAAGCTTCAACTTTTGTATTAAAAACTGCAACCATGAGCTTTAAAAAATGAAAGCAAAGACAAATCTAAGAAATAGATTGAAGTATTCCACTGATGTGGAGTCAGTCCTCACCTTTTCATAACTATTAAAAATGGGTACAAATATACTATTTCTCTTGGCTAGACACCTTTGAATAGAAGGGGAAGTCTAACAACACTTAAAGCCTCACCTTCCTACCTGAATTATTTAAATGTTTGGTATAAATTCCTTTTAAAGTACTGACAAGGGACAGTGTTCCTGTTCCTAGGGCACTAGTCAATCAAGGTAAATGGGTGCAATAGACACTGCAGATTTTTCAGCTGTGCTCTGCTCTAACTGCCTTTTCTCATGGGTGTATGAAAGGGGGATGGACAGTTCTTGCTGCATGTGAAGGGTTTGTGGAACTGCAGCAACCACCTTTCATCAAAGAGGCTGTAGCAATGCAGTGGAGTAGCAGGTTTAAGTGCACCCTGGCTCCACTGCAAGAGGCAGAGCTTTCATTGGTGCCTGGAGGATTTTCCTGGTTCTGGGATCTGAAAGGGAAGCTGTAACATGCAAACCAGCTGTTCCAGCTGTGACTGCTGTCAGTCACTGACAAGTTGGGGTGGCTCTGAGAAGCTGCTAATCGTTCTGTAGCTCTGGTGACCTTGGTGGGTCAAAGAGCTCTGTCTGTGCCCTCCACAAGGGTGGGGTGTCACACGATGCAGACACCATCCCTCTGGATGACTCCGTACCCGAGTCATGAACTGTGTTGCTCTAAGACCTGCTTTGCCTTCTCCCAGGACAGGCAGTAGCTGCTTCTTACAAGGCAGAGGATGCTTGTATGAAAACCATCCACCTTTGAGAAAGAAAAGTGGCATCTAGAAATAGGCATTATTGCATCATTTTGGGTAACACTGACTAACCACATATTTAATCAAGTAACATGACCAAGCAGGGACACTCTCCAGGCCTGAAGGTGATAAGGACTATGCAGTCATATGAGCTTTTTCCACTCAGCTGAAGAGACACAGCAAGTGGCAGGACTTCAGCCCACGTGAAGTGCATACTACACGGTAGAGACCATGGTGTCAGTTGTCTTTTAAGAACTCAGTTCTGGCTTTCTGCTCCTCTTCAGCTTCCTGCCCTTCAAGAGCATGGACTCATTTGTATCAAGGTGACCCCAACAGGAGCTTGCACAGTGTTACAATTCTGTGCTCAAAGCCAGCAGCTATTTCCAGCAGTCGCCCAGTGTTTAATTTGGTGGCACGTGGCATACTCCAGCACTTCTGGAAAGGATTTCAAAAACAACAAAATGCTGCATGGCCTCCTTAAACCCAGTAACTATAGGTTTTTATCTCAATTGCAGGCAGAGCTCAGGCTCTAAAGTTGTACAAGTACAAGGTAGGGGGTGAACACTTCCTACTTCTGAGCCCATTCAGTGGATGGAATACACAAGTCAGACACCAGCTGCCTTGGAAAGTCACAGAGCAGAAGGGAGCTGGAGAAGGGCAGGGGCCTAGCTGAGGGGTATGTTTAAGTCAGTTGTACTCAGCAAGATCAGACAGGTCTGACATTATTTTAATGTCAGACACTTGCCAGCAATCACTGGGAAAGTTCACCACCACAGCACAGATTTTAAAACAGTGCTTTGCCTTGAACAAGTCACAGCCTACCACTGCATGTTACATTAAACCCAACAAGTCAGCATAACTCTTTTTAGCACCATTACAGGTCAGGAAAATACAACTATGATGTGCAATGTACCTAGTGCAGAATCTGTGAGATAGTCCTGCTGGTCCAATTCAAGCAGCATGTACACATCTCTGTAAAATCACCTGAATTGAAAAGATTACAAATCCTAAACTGGAGTTGAGTTCCTAAAATTAGGTCACTGATTTAGCCCTGCTCAGACCATGATGTGATCTAGAGGTTTTCGATCATTTATTTAAATGATCCTCAAACAACCTTTTGTTCTCCTGCTGCTAGAAGGTATCAGAAAGAATCTATTTGTTTCATCATAAGTTTCCGGCTGTACTCATAGGCAAGGAACAGTGCTCCATTGGCCAGGAATGCACGGATCATAGTTGGCTTTAGTCCAGAATACAAGGCAAGTACACCTGGAAATGAAATCAAAGCCAGTTAGCAATCCAGTGAATTGCCTATCTGCATCAACCCCTGTGCTTTTACCTTCAAAGGACACTGAAGTAATGCTTCTGCTTAGGGGTGCTTGCACAGAGAGACCTGAACTCACCGGTGTAGCTGCTAACAGTGGTGTTACTGGATATCGATATAGGAGTATCTAGAGTTGTAACATGAGTTTAGCCATTTAAGTGCTTACGTTAGAAGCTTATCTCAGGTATGACAGGGGCTTCAGGAGGCTGCCGTGGTCACCTGAGGATACAGTTCACAGCAGCTGAACCACAGCTGGCAAGGGGACAGAAAGAACAGCAGGGCTTTGTTGGAGCTGTGTCCCCAGACTCCTGCTCTGATGAGTCTCCTCCCTAGTGACAGGGCCACAATGTGTATCTGCTGCCACGTACGTTCTTTCACCATCTTCTGAAGTGCCTGGCGCAGGCCTTTTCCAGAGATGAGACACTGAGGTAGGTGCCCCAGGTCACCAGGACTGATTTATCCAACAGCCCTCAGTACACCATATATTAACTTCTAGAGGTGAAGAAAAATTCTGTACTGAACTTAACTGGTTCCTTCAGTTTTCATGTATAGGTTTGGTCATGGGTAATGGAGCTCATTCCTTTATCTGCTTTTAATGCATACTGAGCTTCCGTTAGCTTTAAGGGAATTGTCTCCTGAACAAAGACATGTAGCAGATGGAGGAGGTCTCAATTTCTAGATTCCAAGCTTTCCAGACTGCATGAAGCATCAATATTTGTTAGAAACAGTTATTGTCTGTCTCTAACACATTATCAGTGGACTAGATTTCTTATGCAATTTTTGGCATTGGAGGGTACAGATTTCAGTCTGCAGCCCTACAGATTCTGTTCATACGCTGCATACTCACCTTCAGTTCTCACAACAGTTACAAATGTTCCCATAAAGCCTGTCTGTTTTCCAGCCATTGAAAGAACCTGAATTCTCGATTTGACACAGTCCACAGGATACACAGCAATCCACAGACAGCAGCCTCCAAAGCCTCCACTTAGAAGCAAAGGAATGGGACCTAAAGTTAAGATACAAGTTTTTATACACACCACAAAATAGTCACCAACATATATATCACATTATTTCAGCTACAGAAGTCACAGAGAACAGAGGAACCTGCTTATGACAAAAGAGCAGTTTCTGCTCTCCCACAAAACTTTTAAGTTAATTTTAAGCCACTGTAAGTTGCAAGTCTAACCAGAAGCTCAAAGGTTAGAAGGAGTGCCTCTTACATTAGTGGCCATGCTAAAAAAGCATAACTTGGAATTCTGTTTTGACTGTATTAACTAAATTAACTCCACTCCTTTCACACTTGTAATCATTTTCCAAGGCTAATTGTGAAATGGTTTGGAGTAACATCACACAGTGTCACTAATCACCTATACGGAGATTTATTTGGTACACTGCGCAGTCATTTTTCCTGGTGCAGCCTGATCTTGTTTCAGATCAGATGTTTATAAACATTTTGCAACAACAGAGACCAGAATGCACGCACCTGAAATCCTAACTCCCAGCAAGACAAAGTATTACTGTTCAGTCTTTCAACAGGAGACAAGCTATCTTTATTCTGGCATCTCCTCATTTTTTTCATCAGTCCTCAATTTTCAGTCTCAGTGGTCTCTTACTATCATTGTAATTACATGACCTCAAAATCGCTCTAAATTGCTGCTGAAATGAAATAGTTCAGAGCTGTGTTACACTGTAGGGTCAGATATTTAAGTAGTTTTGTAGTACTACTGTTAGCTGTATTTATTCTCCATTTATAATACATACTGCTCCACTGGAAAGTGGTCACTTCAACAATTTATTACTCTATAAAATGCAGACCTCCTTATTTTGTATGTCCAGTTTCCTTCATTTTATGTGTATTTTACAACTGCTGTGCATCATTATTATACCTTCAGGGAAGATATGCCCCTCCTCCCTTGTGTCCCCCATGACAGCATGCTAAAATCCACCTGGAGAAAGAGGCACCATACCTAATTCATCTTTTGATCTCCCAGAGGCAAAGAACGTCCGGCTCAGTTCATACCCTCCAAAGAAGAAGAAATAGCCTGGGACTTCCCGCAGCAAGGTGCTTGACAGGCCACGGTAAAATCCAAGGGGACCATCCTTTTGAATAACACCCTTCACTACTGACCAAACTGTACTGAGAGGGAGGTAGATCCAGTCAGTGGTGCTTCACAGCCAGATAACAAGCAGGTTACAGAACAACAGGCAACTACAGCAACAAGGGTTAGACCCATGGTGCAGACAACAGAATTCAAGTAAGACTTAGAACAAGATCCTGCTGGGAGCCCTTCCCTGGCATCCAGCTTTACTGGCACCTGAATGGTCTCCAGGCTCCGACCCTCACAGCCACCACTCTTCTCTGGTTAACAGTGCATTACAAATGTGACACTGAGCCAACAGAGAATTAAAAATAATAAATACACCTAAAAGGGTTTCAGAGATGCTGGGCAGGGTGTATACTTACTTATGTCCCTGGACTATCTTTCCTGACAACTGCATTTCATGCATGGCCTGCAGCCGGCACTTCACCAGCTCTGTGGGACAGAGGACGAGGGTGGCAAAGGCAGAGGCGAAGGAGCCTGCAGCGGCGTTCTGCAGATCACTGCAAGAGAGAAACTGCAGAAGGTATTGGGGCACTGACCTCCAGTGCAGTGGAGCCACTGCACCAGCAATCAGCTTCCTGAACCTGTACTCTGTCATAATGAAGAAAAACTGACACACACTCTTAAAAAGGGAGAAGGGAGGGCAGTTACTTGAACTAGCGAGACGAAAAACATGGCTCATCCCATCTTCATATGCAACTCAAATACATCCTTTTGACACCCAAGAAGATTTATTGCAACCTTTACCCTTTTTGCTATGCTTCAGTGCTTGCTGCAGAATAAACACTACCAAATCTTCCCCTTCCTGGCTTTTATAAAGATTTCCATAGACTTGTTTTACTGGGCAAATTTTGGGTACTAGTTACTTCCTCAAAAAGGACAGGAGCAGTAATCACCTCATACAGGAGTCAGTGTTTTCAAATTCACCTTACCAGTATTAAAACAGGTTTTCAGTGGAAGATGCTAGAAATCTGAAAGCAAGGCACAACGGACCACTCTAATCTTTCTAGGGATGCGTGGCCATGAATGCAGCTATATGAATTAGAGATAGTGCAGACAAACGTAAACGATCCCACTGAACGAGACAGCACTGTAATCTCAAGGTATTTCAAAGCTGGAGCTTACTTTGCAGTGATTTTACACATAAAGTCTGGGCTGCTGAACTGCCAGGACTCAGAAGGCTGGTATTCCAGGATCATGCTGCTTTATGATACACTTTAAAACAGGCTCCTACAAACTTTGGTGTGTCGGACAGGAGGTGCACAATAGCACAGAACAAGCAGAGCTTCTCTCTTCTTTCAGAGCCTGGGGAGTCAGCACAGCTGAGACTGACCCCGCTACAGCACAGAAATTCTCTCCATACAAGGGAGAGGTTTGCCCTGTGCTCAGCAGTTTTATACATCTACAGCATCAGAGATGAATGGTACAAGTTTTCACCTTATAGAAGCATCACAGAACTAAAGTGGTGACGTGAAGCAAAGCTCATGACATATTCAGATGTGGCAGTAACAAGAACTGTCAAAGCAGAAGAAATCAGTAACTGCCTGCAGAGCAGCAACTGAGTAATACGCAGTAAATAAGAAATGGCAACATTGACTGCACAACCCTCTTGCAGCACACAAAGCTTGGCGTGACAGAGATCTGAAATGCAACCCACTAAAGCTCAAGACAGAGCAAGGCAGAGTTAAAAATACAGTATGTGGCTGAGCCCTGCAGTCACTAAGGTAGGAGCTAGAGCGAGGCAGTAAGGTTACACATTGAAGAATTAGGATAAGAAAATATGGAAAACTATGCACTGAAGGGTGCACAGGATCCTTCCTTGTTCAGGAGAGGAAAAAACCAGATGCTATCAGACTAAAAGAATTCTGACACACGTTCATAAATTACTAGATTTAGCCATAATTCAGGTCTTTTCCATTTTAAATGTTGACATTTAATTCTACATACAATTCAACTGGACTCACTGTTTAGGCTTTGGTCTTTAATATAGTGAACCTCACTGCAAAAGTGATAAGCCTTAAATCCTGTTCAAGTTCACTCTCCAAGTACTCAAAATCCCTAATTCAGTATTTTTTCTGGATGGAAGAGTTTTGATCACACATCACAGGAGCAAGAATCCTCTACTCGTACGCTGCTGCTTCTTCTGTAAAAGGCATTTATCTTTTTTTTTTTTCCCAAAGAAAATCATCTGCTGAAGGTGACTAGTCACGTACTGAGAAAGTCAGTCTAAGGTCAACAAGGATAATAGTTCTCTCAGTTTAGACTTTGGCACAGAACAGAATCACTTTGGTTGGACTAAATGGACATTTAAAGACAAATGGAATTTAGCACTTCTCCATTTTGTTGTCTCAGTTTAGACTTTAGCATGGAACAAAACCAGTTTGGTCAGACTAAATGGATGTTAAAAGATGAATGGAATTTCTCTTTCCGTTTTTATTCTTTTTGACTCGTGCATCACTGGCATGTATTCCTTTAACTTGAAAAAGTGTTTTGTAACTGTCCCCGTCACTGTTTGGCAAGGCTTCACACACTGACCAGGGTATCCCTAAACATAGGCAGGCTAGGCAAGCCTTATTTCCAAGCCATTTAAAGGTATGACTGAAAAGGTAACTTAAAGCAAAACCAAAATATTATAGCTGGTTTTGAGAAAAATCTCAAACATAATAAAATAATGAAAAAGTGAGAAGCAATTGCTTATATATGGGTAAGAAAAATGTTCAGGTTCACCTTACTTTGTGACTTGATGTATTTTCTTCTTCAGGCTAAGACAGCATGACAGTTTTTAAACAGCAGAGTCATTGAAGGAAGTTACAGTTCTTGTCATGTCCAGAGGTCAGCCACCTCATCAGGGTTTCTTCCCTCCCCTACAGCACACTACATATGCTTCTTGACTCTTCCACAATAAGAACAGGTGGAGATGTCCTGGGACACCACATGTACCCAGGGTGCCGCTGCAGACCACGTCAATACACTTCTGTCATACCTGCACCTCATAAGATGCCCCCACAACGATCCAGATGAAGAGATCAAGATAGCAATCTCTCAAGTAAACTCCTATCCTTTAGTGTTTCCTAGCACAGCCACGCAGCCACACTATTTGCTCATCAGTCAACAAGGTATTCAACAGCCATCCTGGATCTGAAAAGTACCATTACCTGACCAAGGAACGGTCAGATGTCAAGAGGCACTTGCTATTGCTACATACTCAAATTACATTCCCATTCTGTATCCTACTCCAAAGACAAAGAGTAGCACACCTACACATCCTGCTTCAAAGTTTCCTGCACACCTCCCCTACACACACTGTAAACATGCTGTCTCAGTCACATGAGGAGATGATCCTAGGACCTCTGCAAGTCTGCAGTCTGCCTCCCAGGAGGATCAGACTGTTAAGAAGTGAAGCATGCTGTTGGTAGGCCTACCTCCTACATTTTCGTGGGCAGGAAAAGATACAGGCTTGTACTGGGTTTGTGTCTGGTGGGGTTTTGGTAGTGAGGGAGGGGCTACAGGGGTGGCTTGGTGAGAAGCTGCTAGAAGCTTCCTTGGCTCCAAGTCAGACCTACCTCTGGACAAGGCTGAGGCAATCAGTGATGGTGGTAGTGCCTCCATATGGTAACATATTTAGCAGGGGAAAAAAGAAACTGCTGGAAAAAACCTGCAGTGGAGAGAGGAGTGGGATGAGAGAGCAACAACTCTGCAGACACCAAGGTCAGTGGAGAAGGAGGGGGAGGGTGTGCTCCAGGCACTGGAGAAGAGATTCCCCTGCAGCCTGTGGTAAAGACCATGGTGAGACAAATTGTCCCTTTGCAGCCCATGGAGGTTAACAGTGGAGCAGATGGACCTGCAGTCCATGGAGGATCCCACACTGGGTCAGGTGGATGCAGCCAAAGGAGTTTGTGACCCCATGGGAAGACTGCTCTGAAGCAAGCTCCTGGCAGGACCTGCAGACTTGTGGACTTCTTGGAAGGACTCGTGTTGGAGAAGTTCGCAGAGGACTGTCTCCTGTGGGAGGGACCCCACGCTGGAGCAGGGGAAGAATGTGAGGAGTCCTCCCCTGAGGAAGAAGGAGCAGCAGAGACAACATGTGATGAACTGACCACAACCCCCATTATCCATCTCCCTGTGCCACTGCAGGGGGAGGAGGTAGAGAAATTTGGAGTGAAGTTGAGCCTGGGAAGAAGGGAGGGGTGGGGGGAAGGTGTTTTTAAGACTTGGTTTTATGACTCATTATCCTACTCCAATTTGATTGGTAACAAATCAAATCAATTTCCCCCCCCCCCCCAAGTCAAGTCCATTTTGCCCGAGACCATAATTGGCGAGTGATTCCTCCCTGTCCTTGTCTCAACCCATGAGCCTTTTGTTATATTTTCTCCTCCCCATCCCTCTGGGGAGGAGGAGTGAGCAAGTGGCTGTGTGGTACTTTGCTGCTGGCTGGGCTTAAACCACAACAGGGGTCTGTAAACTGAGCAAGCAGAAACCCCCTCATCCAAGAAAGCAATAATAAAAGGTGGAAACAGTTTTGCCTCAGCTGAGGGGTCTCAACAGCCAGAAAACAGTGAAAGAGTGCAAGTAGAGAGCAATTAATATAATTTGTTTCTTCATCACTCCATATTCCCTCATAGCAGGCCTTGGTCTTAAGACACAGCACATCTTAACAAGTGACAGGAGAACTTCTCACTTAATGCCACTTTTAGGTACTTGTCCTGCACTTAGGTAGCCACCCACATCCTGTCAGAGATCTCAAATGCAGAATCATGGCCTCCCCAGCTACTTCCATTTAGAAACAGACATGACAGAGGCAGAAAAAAGCCATTAATAAAAAACAGAATGTGGTTAACATTGCATCACTCTTAGAATGGATGGAGTTGGGCCAGTATGCGAAGTGTTTTACACACCATGGGGCAGCACAGTGGAGAAGGTGTAGCTACTCTTAGTGCTGCACAGAAGATATACCTCAAGAAATGCCTAACAGTAAGGCACTCAGACTGCTAGACCACTGACAGCTCTAAAGTGATGCACCTGGAGAAAAGCCATCCTAGCCAGAAAGAGATTATGATCATTATGCCAGTGCATAAATCCATGACTTGCTCACACCCTGAATACCCTGCACAGCTCTGGTTTCATAAGCTAAAAAACCCAGGCATGTTAGAATCACAAGAGTTTCAGAGAAAGACAGTGAGAACAGCTTTAGTCATCGCTGACTTGCAGGGCTGGGATCCCTCCATCTACGAAAAGACTCAGGTGAGTAAGAGGGGCAATGGATAAAAGTCTACAAAATCCCAGGTAGCATGGAGACAGTGCCTAAGGATCAACTGCCTCTTCCAGTTACAGAATTAATGACTCACCTGCAGAACTCCCTGCCAAAGTGTACTGCAGATGCAAGAAACTTACAAGAATAAGAGGAGATTGGACAAGTGCTTCAAAAGAGATCCAAAGTCCCTGACTGGATACACCAGGATCAAGAAATCCTCTGAACTAAGAACGCAGCCTGGCAGAGGACTCTGAGTAAGTATTAAACACTTCCTTCTCTTCTTTCTCATTCTTTAGGCAACCACTTATTGCCAGTGCTGTAGACAACACACTGTGCAAAATTAGACCTTTGGTCTAACCACCATTACATTCAGGCTTTTGAAACTTAAATAAATAAATTTTTAAAAGAAAGGCAATATTAGAAAAGTGTCCTTTCCCCTTAGTATGCCTCCCCATAAGAAGAACCACTACCTCCCCTGCAAAATCAGAACCACCTAGAGATCAAGGGAATACTAACTTTCAGGTGTTGCAATGCTCAGTCCCTTTGGTAAAAACGTTCTAGGTCTTGAATATTCCAGTTCAGTTGTGATTACCTAAACCAGCCAGCTGCAGTGACAAGTAGATGGCTCTGCTGTAGTTAGACACCACATCCCAGCACAAAGGTCTATATTCCAAAACTTACTACACTGCATACTGGCAGAGGGGAGCCTCAGACATCAGTTGTACCTTGACAATACAGTATTTGCAAGTAGCGGTTGCATGATTTTTTATTTATTTTAAAATATGAAATGAGATTTCTACTACTAACCTGAGCTTTGTCTTCCTGTCTACTCCAACAATTCTTCTCACAATTTGTTGGCAAAATCCATAGCACATGAACAGAACGGAGTTCTCCGCGATGTTGGCTACAAGCGCTGGTGTGGTTCCCTTGTAGAAGCCTCGAAACCCCACTTGCTTGTAGGTTTTCACAAAACAGTCAACAATTCCTTTGTACATGTTGGGGAAGGTCTGCATCTTCACCTTTGCTGTGTCAAAGGGCTGGCCAGTCACCACACATGCTGTCCCACCTAAGCAAGCAGTGGAAGTTAAGAGAAACAAGTGAAACACCTATACACGAACAGCACTATTAGGGAAAATCACCTGGAAAGCAAAGAGGAATTAATTCTTTGCAGGAAAAGACAAGTGCACTGATTTTAGCACAATAGCATCGATTGTCAGTGGTGAATTTAGTTACTTGAAGAAAAAAAGTCAGGCATAAGAGCAGTAACAGCTTGATTCTCGTTAAACATTTCTTCATCTTACTGAAAGCAAGCATCTAAATGTATTGGTTCACTTACATAAACTGGTACTGAATTAGAGGTATTGTTCTGCAATCAAGTCACTTGTGTTAACAAATGAAGCAACGTTTTCCCTTGCTCATTAATGCAGTGGTTCAGAAGCCATCTGATTTTATGTTCCAATAACAACAACAAAAAACCTGAAAGATTTGTAATCATGTGAGATAAAGATTCCTCCAGGACCAGAGCAACACTGCTGAGAGAGTGCTAAAACCGATGATACATTATAAATTGATATCCAAAGACTCAAGCCCTTTACTTCAAAACTCCAGATGACTCTTATATACATTTATTCCCACATACTGGAAGAAAGTGTCCAGTATAAGCTGAAAAAGGGCAAAGTTTCTCAACATGTTATCTTTTCCAAACTGAACTGCAAGGTCAACACCCTGAAAACTTGTGAGCTATTTCCATCAATGTCATCAATAACCACTTTGCCCACAGTGCAGTGTATTTCCACAAGATCTAACTCAATTTAGTAGTCTGCAGAAAGAGCCAGCGTTACACTTTTTCAGTAGGAGATACCAGTGTACACTGACAGCAATCTATTAGAAGCCAGTACCTAATGGGAAGCATGACAGGTGTACCTTATATAGGCTTTATGGTTTTGCTTTTTTAGCAAGAGAGAGCAACCATCCTAAAACAGAAGCTGATCTTTAACCAAAGCACAGTTGACGTGCATATACCTTTAAGAGAGCAAGTTAAGAAGATGGGTTTTCAGCTATGAAATGGAAGTAATTATCTGTAAATGCAGATAATACAAAGAAACTGAAATAGAAACAAATGTGTGAATCCAAGTAAGATTAATTATTTTACTTCTAAGTGGGGACAAGAACAGTAAGCAAGTGTTTATTTAACTGTGGTTTCATTCAATCGATTTTACTCTTTGCAAACACATTGTTGTTGCTCCTCTGCCAAGAGGTACTTCAGGCCTTTAAGAGGAACTCAAGATCTAGCTGCCATAAAACCTCATTCTCAACCAGAAGGATCATTAAAAGCTTCAGAGCAAATCGTACAAGGAAGCATGAAGAGCTTCTTGGTCTGGGAGGAATAACCAAGAAGAAACATAGCTGGCTTAAACCAGAAACATCCATGTGAGCCTCAGATGAAAGGCAGAGCTTGAAAGGCTCAGCCAATGCTACTTGCAGGCAAGTTCGGTGGAAATTAATGCACAGGACAAATGCTAGGTTCCTGTGTAAAGGCAGACCTAAAACATCCACATGTAGTAAAATAACGCTGTTGGAAGAAGCCCAAGAAAACCAGGAACAGTCCTTGGGAATGCAAAGCTGAAAAATTGGGAGTTGACTGTGAATAGCTGTTCCAAAACCAGAAAGGGCCTCCTTACGCTGTCACTGAAGGTGGCACAAGAAGCCCAGTAAACTAAGCAATGAACTTTGTAAGCCTCAAGGTAAAGACCAAGAGTCCCAGTTAATATCTAAAATATTAAAGAAAAAAAATATTTCTTCCAGCCAGCAGTCAAGAGTCTAAAAAAACCCCAACAACAAAACCAAAACAACCAGAAGAACAAAAGTCAACCCTGCTTCAACGTTTAAACAAATGTGGTCCTAATAACAACATGGGAATGGTGGGGAAGAGAGTCCTATTTCAAAGAAGTCACATTGAAAAAGGTCTGAGTTCATCTTATTTGAAGGAAGGAGAACTATACCAAAGAAGAAACCAGCATAATTAGTTTCAAGATCCTCTAAGCTCTACTGCCAAAAACCAGGCAAGCCTCAAGTGCATGCCCTGTTAGCCTGAATGTGGGCATGCAACAATATCACCAAGCAACGGATTTCTAAGCTAATACTAGTTCCCAGCTCTGGTAGTAGCAAAGATGAGACACACCAGGCTTCAACTCAGAAAGTCAACTTCCTAAGCCAGAGTGCTCCACTGCCCTGGACATGACAGCAGCATTCCTGAGCCAGGAAGGAAAGCAATCACAGCTCCCATTTAAGCACCTGGGAACACCTGCAAAACCATCAAGAACCGCACAGATACCAAGTTGCTACTTTGGGAAACAGAGCAGATAATAGCTATTCTTTACTGAGGATTTAAAAAACAAGGAGAATGAACAGAGTAACATAAACATGTTTTTTTTTTAATCTAGGGGCATGAAGGAGTAACAGCAGAAATAGTTCTCTTCCCTTGCAGGGAAAGAAGGTGTTGTCTAGTCAGTAACACATTTTGCAAAGGCTAACAAAGCAGGCATGCACTGAGCAAAATGTGGTAGCAGACAAAATGCTTTATGAAAGGTGCCACGTTTGATGTTACCTGTCACCCCTTGCTTTCTCACTGCACTAAGGTTAACTCCACTCTGACAATCGACCTCAAATAACTACCTCTGAATGCACTTAACGCCACATCATAAAAAGGACTGACTGCAATAGCTATTGCACGGCCAAGAAAAAACATGAAATTGTTTAAACTGGTTACAACAGCACATTACACAAATCTTTCCCTCCACCTTTTCTGTATAAGCATTGTCAGCTTAGAAATGTCAAAAAGACCTCTCTTCCCGGTAGAGTTAAAAACCAATTCATCCTTCAGCCACCATTACCAACGTGGTAACGTCACCGAGACAATGCAACTGTCTCCACATTTGTGACTGTCACAACTGGTCCAGCAAAACTTCCTAGCACAGACTAGACTGAAGTGGAAGTTAAGTGAATTCATCACCATCAGTCCTGCTCCTGAGCTTCAGCTTTTGAAGATTCACACTGGGATGTTGCCTGAGCCAACAACCCTTCAGATGGCCTCTTGCCCGTTTCAATCGGAGAGGGTTCCTGTGACAAAAGCAGCTTTTGAGTTCGTTCCAAAACTCTACTTCTGACTGATTCTTAAACTCATGCAAGCATGAAAACTAACTTTGAAACTTAAAACCTCCTTCTGGAAAATTATTAGTCTGAAATAAGGGTTACACCCTCACCGTGTGGCAGGGGTTTCAACAAGGAAGAGCGATAGCGATGCAGTTACAACACTGGCTGAAGTCAGCTGCTTCACCTCCATATCCTTGCCATACAGAAGGAGAGGCTTTTTATAGCAGCAGGAAACTGCTTTTACATTTGTCAAAGGTACTAAAACTGTCTCTCAGAAGTTCTGTGCAATTAAGTTCTCTCAGCATTACCTGCAGCTCCTGCTGTGAGGTCAATAGCAGCCTGAAGGGCAGAGTTGATCCTCATGCTTCACACTTGTTTATCAGTTACTTCAGTGTGAAGCCTCCCGTTTCCTGGCAGGTATGGAGATACTGGTCTCCTGAAGGAAGAGAAGATGAAGCATACAGAATTTACAACAACTGACAGGCAAAAGCATCACACAAATCCTTTCACTTCCACTTTTCCATTTAGCTTGTTCTAAACCATTTAGAGACAGAAAATGCTCGTCCCCAGCACACAGTCATAGCATATTTGTATTCTGACTGATTAGTTTTGCCACATTAGGCGAGTCCTCTGGAGTATCACTCCCTAGCCTTAGATTACTTGGGCTTTCCAGCTTCTAGTCTCCCTGGACCTCTCAAATGAAAGCAAAGAGTACCTCCAGGGAACAGGGTTGGGCATTACCTTTCTATTGATTATAGAGGCATAGTCTCCATCAGGTGTTCAAGGCTAGCTGGCAGGAATATTTCCCCCACGTGTCAGCTCCTCACCTAAGAAGGGAAAAAGAGAATTGCTGTGCTCACGGTGAACAGCAGCTAAGAAAACTGTACCCATGATGATACGGGCACATTAGGTATTTCTATGTGGCTCTCAGAAGACATGAGTAGAAAGGGATTGAATGTGAACATACAGAATTGTGTCTGGCTGTCATGTTCACAGTGCAAGTCTGCCCCACACCAGCATATTATAAATAAGAATTACACCTCATCTCTCAGTAAGGCAGCTGGAAAGCAGAAATACAAAGGCGACACTTTCAAATAAAACATTCAAATTAATTCAGTTCTCAAGTTTGCAGTAAGGTACTTCCACTGGGAGAGCAGTTAAAACAAGCTTGCTTCTCTGGAGTAAAATCACTGAGCCAAAGAGCTCCCACTGTTTCAGAACCATGTTGCTGAGCGAGACGCTTGGCTGGCAATGCTGTCAGAAAAGTCTTAAGAAACACACAAATACACACATGAATCAGCCCCTCATTGACTTTTAAGCTTGGCTTCAAGCACAGTACATCAGTAAACAGAACATTTTTCACTCTTCTACATACTGCAATGCTTCTTTTGAAGTCTGTTACCTCCCAAAGTATATTTTGGAGCAATATGAATGGGAAACAGTTTCCACTAAGCTACACTGAAAGAATAATTAAAAACCCACATTGTATGAACCACATCCTTTGTACAACTTTTACATTACAACGACAGACACTTGCATACAAGCAAGGCTTTAAGAAAGCCTGTCTCTAAACAGATCACTCCTGAAGCTTAAAAAACAAAAAACAAAACAAAACAAAACAAAAAACCCACCAAAAGGCAAAATACTGTCACTCAGTAACTTCACACGTCTGATCTAAGAGGTGTTGCACGAATCTGAACGTAATGGATGTAAAAAAAATAATCACTACTCCTGTAATAAATGGCACTAATACATGCTATTTCCAAGTTGTGGTTACAGATTTGAACCCCTTCACTACTGACAACACAGTATGCTAGGTGTTATTTCAAAACAGACGCTCCAAGGCCAAGGTACACTTCATTATCCTGTATACCTCATTAGTGTTCACACAGAACTCCGCAGTTTTGCTTCTCATTTAGAGGAAGAAGAGACCAACAGATCAGCAAGACAGCCTCTGAATGAAAGGAATTACTAGAGAGCAACAATTGCCCGCCTTCAGCACAATGGACGCTGCTTACATCATGCTGAGTGCTTATCAACTTGTGCCAGTCCCCAAACGGAGCACATGCCAATCACCCACAGATACCCACTGAAAGCTTGGCAGCAGAAGGACAAATAGAGATGCCTATAAAAATATGAAAGCTTTAAAAGCCAAGGAATTTTCCTGATCCCTAAGAGCACATTGCCACTTTCAGAAAACTTTAAGATTTAGTCAAAACTAAAAAAGTGTTATGTATGTACATACCTTTCCTCCTAATTTTTTTTTCCTATTTCTAATAACACTAGCAGATTAAAAACTGCTTGTTGATACAGCAAGGCAACAACTGCTCTGTCACTTCCAAAGCGAATCCAAGTCTCAAACCTGTAAACACAGCAGCATTACTTAGTGTAACAGGTCCCGCAGAGTCCTCCACCCGCAGCCCCGCACGTTATTCTCTGGCGATGCACTCTCCAAACACCAAGTAGCCGAACCCAAAAGG